GTTTCAATGCAAACCATACTTTTTCATAGTAAACTTGTACATCTTTAAGTATAATTTGTTAGCATGATTATCAACGCTTATTGTATATGTCGTAATACATGCATTTATGTATTGAAGTCACATTTGGTTCACTTATTCTAAATTCTTCCAATCTTCTGATGGAGATCTACAAAATTGTTGAATGTAATATGAAATGAAGCTCAAAAGAATTTTGTATTCAAAAAGTAGACTTGATTTAAGAGCTAAAGTTTAAAGTTGCAAGATTGATTACCTAAACAAGTGCAACATTTATCATATGGATCAAAAGAAAATAAAATTCATATATACAATGCAAGGAATCACATCTAAGTGTTGACACAATCATATGGCTATGAAGTTCAAGAAAGAATTATATGATACAGTCAAACACAATGAATATTGTGACTATTTGCTTTGGTTGAGATAAGCGAAATCCAATTAAAAAACTAAGAGTTGTAAAACAAGTTATACGATTGCTTGAAGAAAATGACCTTCAATATGAAAAATTTTGGCACGAAGACACAATTTTGCATTGATGTCTTTGATGATTTTAACAAAGATCTTCCGAATTTTGGAGAGTAGATACGTGATGAAAAAAAATAACACCCTCATGTTTTTTATCCTCTCACATGCATGTTTTTAGTCATTATCATGTGTGTTGCTTTATTGAGATAGTCACAAAATAATCAACAACAAAGTCAAAAGTACTTTTTCAAAAATGAAGTACTATTTCTTATTTTTTATATAAAAATATTTTTATCAAAGCTGAAAAAATATCAATGTTCATATTTTTGTATCTTATATATAATGTACTGGTTCTTATTTGATAAAATAAAAAAATCACTTAAAATTCTTTAACTAATTGATATCATGTTATTTTATTTAAAAACTCACATTAAAAAATGAAAAAAATCTATTTTTACAAATAAAGTCATGTACAAAAATATACCACAAAAAATTTCAAGAGAAAATGTTTTTCTTCTTGCTTTAAAATAATATTATCTGAATATAATATAACAAATAATCCAAATTTAAAGATAATAATTTTTTCTATTCATGTCTTTTAATCTTGTGATACAAGAAAAAATTACTTTTATATTAAGTTATACACATGGTTAGAAGATGATTTCAAGCGTGATATTTTTGCAAACATACATATAACTTAAATTAATGTAAAGGATTTTAGACATTAGAGTAGATTATATATAAAATTGTGCAAAGATTCAGCTAATTATAATAAAATAATAACAATTCTTCGAAAGAAATTAAATTTAGTCTTTAGATTAATGTACTTAAATATCATAATTGGAAATCTAAACATGAAGTTTGACATAAAATATGTGCACAAAACCAGCTTATAATATTTTTAATTGAAATTATGTACAAGTTCAACAACTTAATTACATGAATGATAAAGTATGACATAAAACTATTGAAAGTAAAAATTTCTAGATTTTTAATCTTATTATAAGTGAGTATAAACATTATAAATGGTTGAAAGTACTCGTAGTGAACTATGTTTACAACATTACAGCAGACAAAAAAAACAATGAGTCTAAAATTTCAACAAAATCAGATTTTGTAATTTTACTTAAGCTTAAATGTATAGATTAGGAAATCATCTAATTCAAATAAAGTAAAACTCATATTTGAATATCATAATCCATATATATTTCCTTAAGATACATAAATGGTTTTTTTTAATGTTTAAATTTCATGCAGAGTTAATATTTCATGCACATTCACTGAAGTTTGATTACTACAAACATATTCTTTTGTATTTTTCTTTAGGTTATTTCATTTTTATCTTTTACTTGCAATTTTTAAGCCATGTATAAGTAGTGATTTTTTTATTTGATTTGAGCAAATTTGCATTAAGTTTGTGATATATTTTGATCCATCAAAACATCAAATTTGACAAAGTGATAGTTTGAGCTTTTTTTCATGTCAATTATGAACCTTAGCTTGCATTTAATTTTGAAGTTCAAGCAAGATGTATACCAATCATTGTGCACATTTTTTCTAATTTTTTAAATTAAGCTTATGTTTTCTTTTCTTAAGCATGCATTATTAGTAAAAAAATTTTTGTCATCTTTCTAGAAGCTTGAACTTATCTTTGTGAGCTTCTTTTTGTACATGTTAATATGAAATGTAAGAAGTCTCAAACTTCAAAAACATTATGATGGTGAAATTTTTCAACTTGTTGCATCAAAAGCACATACATTGAATATTATTCACTTAATTTAGTAGCATTTATCTTTGACCTGAATATTTTCAGACCTAGAGATAGCATTATGCTTCAATTTGTTCCTATATATTTTTTGCAAAGTGATTTTAATTCTGTGGTTCAGAAATTCGAATTTGCTTTTTTTTTCAGGATCAAATATTTCAGTTACTCTCTTAATTCAAACAAGTTTGTATTTTTTGCTAATAAACTTTACTTGCAACTATATTCAGTTTGATCATCTATATATATTTTTTTGGAAAGCCATCAATGTACATCTAATTCAAATTGTAAGAAATATAAAAAAAATTATTTTTAATGAAGTTCGTGTTTTGCATGCACAAATATGCACTACAAAAATCAAATTTTCAGTTTATGAATAAAATAAAAACAACATAAAAAATCTCCGTCCAGCTGCTTGTACATGCCTTGCAAAGCTTAATTATTCTTGATAGCTAAAGCTATGTTTCAAATTTTATTGAAACTAAATACGGTGCATATTATCATTATACATATTTCCTTTTGATGTATTAATTCAATGTATAGATATATTTTTTACAAAACAATTTTTCCGCAAGCATGTTTCATATCAATTAAAACAATTCATCTTCCACATTTTAAACCATTATGCTTGTAAGGAATGAAATTATGATGTGGATGAGAGAATCTTAAAAAATCTACATTATTTCCATCTTTAGCATCTGTTTGGTCCAATGCTTTTCATCTACACGACACGAAATGTCCTTGTCAGCCAAATGCATTATAAAATTTATGTAAACCTTTTTCACAAAGATGAGATAAAATGTAAATTCAATGATATTCAAAAGATGTCCTACACAATTTTACAACTTTACCAATTCATTTGTCTGATTTGGTCTATGTACCTACTGTTAAGAGCAATCTGTAATCAAATCTGTAACCTATTTTGGTCACATATCATATTTTTCTAATGAAAAACATGTATGAAATATATAAATATTTTCAAAAGAATGATGAACACCTAAACATACAAAGTTGGGTCATATTGTCTAAAAAAAACCCATAAAAAATAGATCATATTGCACACCAATATATTTTCATGTAAAATCATAATGTTGACTACTTCTGGATATCCAAATTTATTTGATAGTGTGTTGAGATATTATGTATTTACATTTATGTTAATATCATGTCATGTTCTATATAAGAATGATCCGGTAAAATCTTGAATTAAAAAATATGTTGAAGATTTTACCAAATCATTATTATATAGAATATGACATGATATTAACATAAATGCGTAATATTTGGACACACTATCCATACATATGGAAATCATAAGATTAGTGACTCCACCATGAAAACATACATATAATAGTGAAATCACTTGATTGTTTACAACACACCATCCACATGTATGACAACACAAATTCGACGTAGCCATGAAGCAGAATGCTCAACTGATCAAAAGTTCGTTATTACCGACAGTTGTTGCATAACATTCATATATTATTACTGACTGCAATGTTATCTACGTTAACTATTGAAAAGTCATTGTCATCGGACTATGTACAAGTGCCATAGTACATACATAGACATAGTAAAAGAAGAATGCATAAAACCTTTGTCTTGTACCTCCAAGGAACGGAGGATTTGTATGAGACTTACATAACATTGCATAAGTATCATACGTACGTCTAAACACACCGAATGCTTAAGTAAGTGTTAAAGTGGTAAACTTTTACTTGCTTGGTAAGTGCACTGTAATAGAAGGAGGATTCACATCCAGTGAGCGACTCCTTGGATATAACGCCTCCGAAGCATTTTTCTCTGGCCAGAGATGGAACGTCTTATTCACTGGGCCTCTTGTTCCCTACTTTGAGAGAAAGCCGTTTGCTCCCTATAATATATAGAAAAAATCGGTGGAGGGCAGACTTTCCCTTTTCCGCAATGTTTCGTGAGTGTTTGCAATGAGGCATTGACTTTTTCCTTGTGCAGAATACTATACAGATGAAAGATGTACACCATGCTCGGTGCAAGATGAAAGGTAGGAGGATAGATTAACAGCATGGATACATCTCGTCAACAGCAAGTGAGAAAATTGGTGGAGCCTTTCGGTGTGCTTTAGTGTTATGGGGCGTTGGAATCTTATATCTTACCGGGTGGCACCTATCATGTTGATAATAGGACATAACCGACCATAACGCCAAAAAGTTACGAAAGGCCACAGCAAGTTGTGAAAACAAATTGAAAATGTACTCAGGGAAATTAGATAATTCCAATGATTCTCTTTCAAAATATTGTAGCGCAATCATGTGCAAAGCTGACTTTTCATATTCTGCAGCGAGACATGTTTTTCACACCAGTACATATCCACACCACCGTTTTCGTATTTGTTTCGGTGACATTGCGCCTCGGTTGATTTGTGGACGATGCGCGAGGTACTTCCCTGGAAAAAAGAACAATATTCGGGCAGGATGGAAATGTAAAGCTGAAATGATCGGAGGAACGGGCTCGTGACGTCCACGTCACCCGCAGAACAGCTGTCGGCGGTCAGACCAGACCAACCAGCAACAAACAGTGGCGCAGTTACTGACAGAGTTAGACTCAAAAGGTCTGGCAAAAGATCTCCGCCGTTTGTTGCAAGCACTTCAATGATAAAACACAGAGTTTGAAAGTTGAAAACTGTACGTTGGCACGTACCTACTGATTCGACGCAGCACTGGAACGAAATGAATGCTTTCTACCTCTACACCGGATTCACGTGTATTGCGTACATCCCCGAGATAAAGCGCCCGAACCGAGTTCAATGTCGATCGATTGTCAATAAGTCGTAGAATATCCAGGTCCGAAAGGGACGTAGGAGAAAATGTCCCACGTCGAGCCGAACAAGCGGCAGGCAGGCAGCGTGCTGAGCTCGTACCGGCGAAAACCAGACCGCAGCGAGGGGATCGGCCTGGCTGGACAGATCTGCATGCTTTTCGAGACCGGAAAGGTGGTGGTGAATCGGATGTACATCTGATCGCCCACCTTTCCTGCGCAGACGATGTCGAAGAGCTTCGAGGTCGATGTGCTCATACGGTGTGTTGGAAACGTCGTCGCCGCGAGACTTGTGCAGATAGATGGATAGATATATTCAGCCTGGCGGTAGCCAGGCGCATGGCAGATCCAGCAGTTAAGAAGCCATGCCTGGTAATCGACATCCAATCAAATAAGTGGATCCGATTTCCGGCACTCGCACCCGAGGTCTGTGGACTTCCACGGCTCCGATGGCCACCGGGTTTTGACGTGGACATGACATTGCGCCGCGAAGCTCATTAGGCGAAGTGGACATCACCTCACGTCGGTTTATTATAATCTGGCCATTCCAGGAGATAACGCCGTCCGGCCGACAACGCTGCTCTCTAGGCCTCGACATCTTATCGTCGTGTTGGTATCTTCGAGGGCTTCGAGCTCGGCGTGTGCTCCGTCCTTGGACAAAATAGAGCGCACGGTGAGACGTTTCATTGACTACGACGATGAAGACCAACCGATCGATTGTTCGTCTGTTGTGGTATTGGTCTAAACTTTGTTTATTGTATTTTCAAAATAGTAACCATGTCATGTCTCCCTGCACCTTGAGCTCCATCTGATTGGTCCATTCTCAATGTGTTGACTTGACTTGTACTGGTAAATGTCTATCCAAGACAAAGAGAGCATTGTCACCTGGGACATACCTTTGCCATGTTTCCAAACGTGAGAGTTGTAGATTTCATCCTGTCATATGCATATGATTGTGTCCCCTTGCCAATATAGAAAACATGATTACGTTTGACGGTACAGGATATACAGTAATAGTAACGGTATCTATCGTGATCGCGAATGGATAATAATATTTTTTTAAAAATATATGTTCTAAAAAATCTCCACATTCATGATTTATAAATTTTGAATTAAAATATTTAGAATTTTTTTAAAACATAAAATTTTAAATTTTAAATAAATTTTTTTCATAATTTTTTAAATAAAAATACATAAATAAACAAATTGTATTTAAAAAAGTACGAAGCAATATGGTACGGGCAAGTTAACTAGCCGACCAAATGACGAGTATAGATCGCAAGTCAGTCTTCGTCAGGAGACACTTGAGAAAGTTGGGAGAGAAGAAGAGCTTGTAGGCTAGGCGATGCGAGAAAGAGAAAAGTGATCAGAACAGAGTACAGGAGGCCAGAAGGCACTGGCCGGTGCTCGCTGCGATCGAAAGGATGAGAAATCGGAGACAAAACGGAGCGCAGGGTGGGCTGGCCTGACGAATGACAAATTTCTCTTGGTCGCCAGAGTCTGCCTGGCCCCTGGGGCCTGGGCAGGCGAAATGGTCACGTATTCTGCTCAGTGACTGAGTGAGGACGGGCCAGTCACATGGCATGGTCGAGGTCTTGGTCGCCGAGTCCAGGATCGTTGATATGGGCACGTGGATAAGTACTGTACAATCCGTTCACTGGCCAGTAATGGTAGAATGTGGATGTCGTGATGTAGCTGCTAATGTCTTGGCGTATATACGAATATTTGCATTCGAGGCATATCTTTGACAGAGATCACTGTGGGCCTGCCAGTGCTGCTGTGTGTCAGATGTGAATGTTGCCAGTCGAACTAGCTCGGTGATCAGCAAGACGTTTTACTATGGTACACCACGAAGACGACGCTGCTTTAGTAACGAGATGAAAGACGCAGAGCGACTGGAGGGTGAGCTTGTTACAGTACAGACAAATGGATCCGGTTATGAAGAGCAGAGTAGAGCAGAGCAACTTATCCCTTGGACTGCCATCACTGTCCAGTAGCATCAAGTCAATGACCATCCAAGCTTTTCTGACATTACTTTCGAATGTCATCATGGTAAAAAGCCGTGGTGCATGACCATGGATGGCCCTTTGGAAGATGCGCCAGGACCGGGAGCACATGATGAGCTCGGAGAACTTTTCGAACTGCCAAGAGCACCCGATGCGGATGCCAAAGGACTCGGAGACGGAAAGGACAGCTTACGACACGCTTCAAGTGGTTTAAACAGGCCTAGCACTTGCTCCCAGATCCAGTATCTGCAGATGTCGTTGAGCAAACTTGGATCGTAGACACTCACCCCCTGCAGCGAGAGCAACTCACTGATTCTGCATCTGGTTCATATCCTCATCTTTTCCCGTCTGATTCATGATGATCGCTAGCCATTTTTTAGGCTTCCCCCCTCCTCCGCTTGCTTCAACTTTCGGCAACCCTGTAGGTTCTGTCCTCCCTCAGGTTCTGTTTTCCAAATTCTCAGAATCTCAGCATGTCCTCGACTGCCCATCTCGGGCAGTTTCCCTCATCTGTGCCTCTGAGTCTCTGTTATTCCGCTGTCACCGCTTTCCGGGGCCAGATCCTGCACCGCCTCCTCGAGATGTTAATGGGCAGTGTGCAATATGCGCTGGTGCAGAAGGTCGTAGAACGCTAGAATTGCTCGCAGAGAGCTCTGCCGGACTAGTGAAGTTTCTTCTGCCAGCACTTTCGAGAGGAGTGATAATTTTGAGCTACAGGAACCCTGAAATCGCACACAGCAAATCCTGTACTTCCATCGAGAAGGGCTTCTACTTGCAACCGCAGCCGCAGCCGCTGAATTTGAAAATGCTTTCCAGATGAGACGATGGTCGGAAAAATGTAGGTCACCGTGAACAATAGGTCCCTGCTTTGTGCAGCAATGAGATGCTTTTCGATTGCGAAATTTCCATTGCATTGTTAGAAGCTAATATGTTGACGGCCATACACTCACTCCTTGGAACAAAGTTCGAGGGGCGCCGACCCCCTTCCCTGTCCACTGTCAATGTCTTTAGAGCAAACACCTTTTCTCGTCGCCCACGTTGTGTAATAGCCCATGTGTATTACATTCTACACGTTTGTATCACACGGTAGAGAAGTGTGCACACTCGCTCCCGCGTTCAGACTCTCCATGAGTAGAGAGCGACCGGAAAATGATCATTTTGTCCTGCCTGAATTTACGAGAAGTCAAATGTACTCCGATATTCTTTCCCAAGTGTCTTGAGTATCTTCCGTGGCAACAAACATTGCAACCGTGTATTGAGAATACTGGGATGTGATCGGTTGTTTCAACTTTAATGCCGTACAAGCCATTGTAACTAGGTGCGAAGAAAAACAGGGTCCACCTCTCCGCAGGGCGGACCCTGTTCGTGTCCCTTTCCGGTTGTTGCTAAGAATAGGTGCAGCCTGGGTATCATTGTGCACCATTTGTGACTTTTGCTTACCTCTCTACACTCTAGATTGGTTTCGATCATCAAAGCTCATGTTAGACGATTTCCTGCTGGGACGGCCACTGACCTTGAAACTTTGAACTCAATCGTGTGGATGGTGATACTCTGAACGGCCAATTGTTTGCTGTAGTCGAAGCCATGGATGTGCATGATGCACCCTGATTATGACACAAGGTCGTATATCGTAGCATGCCGATCAGCAAAAGTGACCACATTTTCTCATGTACTTTGCGTCGGTTTCGAACTTCAAGTATGGTGCACCCAGTGGAGGGAACAAGGATGCACATAGTTTTCATCGTCACGCAAAGGTGAAGGCCGTACGAACCTTTTGTCCAGCACTTTGACATAGTTAATGTTCTGCTTGCTTTGAGCACGTCATGAAGAGAGAGAGAGAGAGAGAGAGAGAGAGAAAGACAGGATTCTCTGAGAAGTATGCAAACCTTGTGAAACTCCACCGGCAGCTGCAATAAAATACCCGACGATTGGCTCTCATTTTGTTTCACCTGGGTTGCATAAATAGACATATATACATGAACCTTTTCCAGGACATTCATTTCTGATAACTGCAATTCTCGTTGATCCGGACGAACGAGTTACCGAGCAATAACTTATCATTATTAAAACGCATCACTGAAATCAAAAGCAGCTGTAAATAGCTGTAACTTTCATTGATTTTGAATAAAATTTACAAAAGTAGCGATACGCCGAGTCCTCAACATGCTAGCCCCCTGAATTCTGATGAATAGATGGGGGTTCTAGAAAGGACAAATTGTGGAAGCAGGGTACTGATTTCCAAATCTCCAAGTCAAAAAGTTTCACTTGAGCCCTTGATTTTGTTTCAGACAAGCTGCAAGATGAGACCTACACCGGTTCTTAACATACTCCAAGTTCTTGTTCTGGTCAAGTACACCTGGGGGTGGGGAGGGGTGGGTTGATAGGCTTGCATGCGTTACGCCCGTAACATACCCAAGTTTACGCTTTGATGTTATCCCATTGGCCTTCAGTACTAGTCCGAGTGGCATATAAAACTTGATGACTCAATTGACCACACGGCCATGTGCACCAGTTCACTGCTTGTTTGCTCAGAACTGAAGAGAGTCCTTCACACTTGCAAATAGCAGATCAAAACGTGTACACATCCCTCCGCAAGCTCGCACTCGCCCACTCACCCTCATACTATGCTATTTAGGTGAACTTTGTCTCGAAGGCATACTTGGCTGAGAGTTGACTCGTACATATGTTGCACTTTCAGTGGTCAAACATTAGTGTCTTGGATGTCAGAGCCCCTGGCATGAACAATGGCAAGTGACCGTCCTCGCCCAAGCTGTTGCCTTGACTCCTCAGTCATGACTGCATTGGAACGTACAGTAGACTCCATCCGGTCAAATCCTTGGAGTAAAATCTGCAGTATGGTTCTAAACTGTCACCGCAGAAGTCAACTTTCAGCCGGCTCATAATCCCGAGAGCTAACACGTAGGACCACCACTTAGGTCCGTGTGCTTGTATCTTTTTCATTTTTAGAGTCGAGAAACGACACTTTAGTAGAAGTAAAGCATCAGTTGTTGATGTGTTAACCGTTCATGACTGGTTTGTGATGCTGGTTCGAAACTTTATACACTGTCACATGGTTCATCCTGGATATCTTTTTCACCTTGATAGACCGGAGAATATATCTCTGCATGAAAGCATCGAAGTTTTGAAGCACGTTTCAACTACCAGATTCGTGCTCGAGGATCAAAAGGAACCCAGCATTGGACAACGTCATTGAATTACGAGGCCGTTTCAAGGAGGCTAAAATTGGATTCCTAGACTCCGGTTTTGACTTTGAAGGACAAATTTGTATCACTGCCAAGTTCGGTGGTTGCTCAAAAATACGATGCAGAGACGAATCAGGAAAGCGATATGAACATGGAAGCACTTGTGTGTGTAAAACTAGTGTGAGCTATTCAACTCCAGAAAACAATTTTCCCAGTCACGGGATGAATAATGAGAGCAAGATTTCAGAACCTACGAGGAAAATCCTGCAGGTGGCCTCGCATAACCTTACACAGAGTATTCCGGACTGTCTACCTAGCTTATGAGAGGCCATTGGAAGATACTAACCTTGAAGCTCAGCGTTAGATAATAGTTTGTAAACAAAAAGGATTGAAAATTGAAGCCAGCATTGTCATATGATACAGATCAATTCGAATTTTAAACACCTGAAAAATACAAACTAATCGTCTTCAGAACCTTCATCTCATTCAGTCGTTTTTAGATAACATCAATTCCTGCTTTTAGCACCGCTTGTATACAAGCCGTAACGGAATTTTGTAACTCGTTACATACACTAGGAGACTCTTCTAGTACAATTGAGCATCAGAACCTGTGCTTGCGCACCCCTTCAGAATATATGCAACTAATTGCAGGTGTAGCTAACGTAGAGACACTTTGGAAGGTCCTTGTCTTGACTTCAGACGGCACCTCTGCTTCTAGTATTCCGCGTTTGGTCGAAAACGAGAACAATTAATCCAAAGAAGTTTAATTCGTTCTACTGGTGACAGAAACTTCTTCACTGTCCAGTCCCCGTAGTGTTAGTCTATACAGAATATTTTGAAACATTTAAAATCAGATTTCAAGCATAATTATTCGTCAAATGAAACGTTCACAGAATTACAGTTCGTCACGATTTGATGTCTACAGAATGACGTCTTAAAAACTAGCAGAAGCAATGATGGCTGGATACCACGTGATTGCAAGGAGCCCTCGATAAACATTAATCTGCAACAGTCTTTCGGAATCTTCCATGAAGACATCGAAGATGAGCATCAATCCGTGAACTGTTATATGTAGAAGCCAATCGAACATGTTCCACTGTTAGTGCAACATAAGGTTCAGAGTCAAGGATGAGACGAGACTTTTGACTTTTCCCTGTTGGCCATTTCTGAACTTTGGTAAATGTAGGACAGGTCTTAACTGACAGCACATCTGGTATTAGTAAAAAGCTCAAGATATTAAAACTTGGAGTCTTATGAATAAATTTAATCCAATGAACATAACATTAACCAAAGCAACTAAAACTTGGAGTCTTATGAATAAATGTAATCCAATGAACATAACATTAACCAAAGCAACTGGGTAGCTATCATGGCCAGAAAAGTGTTAAAACTGGACAATCACTAAAAGAGATGTGCAGCATCTAGGGATCAATATAATCAAAGAAGAATGAAAACAGATTGATGAAAGATTCGGAAAGGAAAGCGGCAGAGCGCAAATGTCGTAAAATAGTCATGAGGTGCAAATCCAGAGAAACGTTTTGAGGTACTCCAGCGCTGGGTTTGGTGTACAGTCGAAACATCAGGCACGATGCCGAGACTTCGAGATTCATCAGAGCATCGACGAAGTGAGCAATCACGACTGCATAAGAAAAAGAGCTTAGGATTCAACGCTCAGACGAAATCTTTTTGTGAAGAAACGAGCCTCTTTGATATAAAACGGCAACCAAAAGGAAAACAGGAGCAACACGTACTAAAGGAATCGTTTAAAGTAGGCTGAGAGTTACCAAACAGAGCAGGCCGGGAAAAAAAACTAGAAGCGGCCAGTTACCCTAACCTAAGGGCACGCAGTTCCATAAACTAATTCACTTTGTTTCTCTCTCTTCCAGAATCTAAAAACCTCCCGAACAACCTCTTAACAGTATGACTTGTTGTCCAGAATTAAGATTCTCTTTCGAAGGTATTGAGGTACAGAGTGAGAAGCCGCCATTTTCGCTTCTTTCTCCTGCGATTGCCCTGGTTCCGTCCAAAAGCAGACTATTCTGATGGTAGATTGTGACTCTTAATGGCCCTCCTATGGAGATATGTAACTTCCGGAGCTAAAGCATGTTTAAATTTCGGAACCACAGAGGCAGGTCTGTTGGGTCCTTGCTCAGGGCCAGTCACGTACTCCTCTGAAGCCAAGCATCCTCATTGCAAATCAGCACAGTCGGAACGAGATTGTTCGTCTTTGGCCTAGACCTTAATCGTTCTATTCACCACATACTTATAGTTCCCTCAGCGGGTTCGTGCTGGGATTAATGTGTGTACATAATGTACCTTTCGTTGCAGGAGCAAATCATGTGCTGGAACCAGACTCTTCGCAGCACCTATCCGATGAGTTTCTATACTTATGACGGTGACCCTTGACATGGAACACATCGAATTTCCTCTAATGCCATCGAGTCTTCATCTCTGAAGAAACGAAACAATCAGAAGCCCTGGCTCATACTTCATGTTGCTATGGTTAAATACTTCATTGTTTCTTCAAATCTAGGCACATGACCACTCATTGTGAAATCTTGACAATGAGTGGGCTGGCAACAAGGAATGCTCAGTGCGTTACACCTTTACGGCAATGGCAGAGCTTGAGAAAGGCAGTGCTAATTTTCATTCAATCTCGAAGGCCTCAGCTTTCCTCTCTACCGCACAACCAGAGCGAAGTCTCTCCTCAGTTTTTGTCTTCTATCATCAAACAGGCGCACCTACTTGGCTAACTCTATCATCCTATCTCATTTCATTAAGTAAGAAAACTAAACTTTCTGCATTGAGATATAGAGATAGATTTCTGCTTAGAAATAGAGATCTGAGCCTTGAAATCTCCGAGTTTTGGTACAACTGGATATTGAATGACAGTATTATAGCTGCAACTGAGAACTTCTAATCTTCTCAATACAGGTCGTCACATCGAAACTCCGAATTCAGCTTCTGATTGGCGGTGATTTTTATAATAGATTCAGCAAACTTCGTACGCGAGAAGAGAATTATTG